GACTTTGGGCCGGAGCCCATGCTTGTCACTCGGAGGACGTGGCCAGCTTGGTATGACCCAGGGAACAACTTATCTCCCTGATTAACTCCCACTGTTAGCTAATGTTTACTGAGCCCTGATGGGGAGCTCTCGAGGTGTGCCTCAAAATAACTCTCACCGCGAGGCTCTGCCTCCTCCCGGTGGCCTCCACTCTGGGGACCACCTGCCTCCAGCTCTGTGGGATTTGGGGATGGGAGCTGAATTCACAGTGACCCCCAGTGGCCGCTCAGGAATGAGGCCAGCAGCCGGCCCAAGGGCCTCCATCTACAGCCTGTAGGGGAGCTTACTTGGCTCCCAGGTGCCCCAGATTTTCCAAATGACCCATGACTGCAAACCAGCTTTGGCTTATTTTGAAACGTGGCACTCTTTCGATGACCCCTTGTCACAGCTATCCACAACGGTGCCTTCCAAAGTCTGAATAGCAGTTCTTTTCCTTGTCACAGCCTTGCTGGTAACACCTACTTCTTTTCTTCTTCTTTTTTTTTTTGGTAAAGCAGGATTTATGGAGAGCACGGAAAAGCTCCCAGCAGGAGGGGACCCGAGGCAGTTGTCCTCTTTTGTTCATTTTTAAATTAACGTTCACATTTTTAAGCCGAGGTTTTACAATTGGCACACAGTGTCTTTTTTTTTTGAGTTGGAGTCTCACTCTTGCCCAGGCCGGAGTGCAGTGGCACGCTCATGGCCACTGCAGTCTTGACCTTCTGGGCTCGGGTGATCCTTCCTCCTCAGCCTTCCAAGTAACTGGAACTATAGGCATGCGCCACCATGCTCAGATTTTTAAAAAAATTTATTGTAGAGATGAGGTCTCACCGAGTTGCCCAGACTGGTCTCGAACCCGTGGGTTCAGGCAATCCTCTCACCTCGGCCTCCCAAAGTGCAGGGATTATACGCATGAGCCTCTGCGCCCGGCACACCGTGTCTTGACGATGTTTTCCTGGGCTCCAGGACTAGATGAAGGTGAGGGTGGAATAGAAACAGGAAGGGATCTCTTGCTGGTGGATAGCTGGGTGTGTGCTTCTCTACAAAAAACAGAAAGACTCCTGCTAAAGCTGCCGCTTGGGAGCAAAAGCAACTGTGGTCGGCTGTGAACTGGAGTTCAAGTTTCTTTTCCCTGAGACTTACTTGCCTCAGCCAGTGCTCCAAGCCACCCCCAAGTCCCTCCTCTGGCCATGTTTGACTGCCTCTGTGGCTTCCCTGATGTTTTGCCCCTCACAATCCACTCCAGACTAAAAGATGCAATACTCAGCCAGGCCAGGGCTTGATCAGGCAAGTACATTCGGGAACAGACACCTTCAAGAACTAACGACAGCCCTTAGGATCAGAACCTGTCGCCCCAGTAGCAGTCTTGTTTCTCAGTGCATTCTAGAATAAATCAGCAGAGTTAAATGACAAAGGATCTTATCAATACCTAATGTAGCAGTCCCCCGAGTCTCTGGTGCATGGTATTAAGGGACTCCACTATGATAAGAAAATTAAACGTATGTAGTGTTTGACTTAGACTCAACTGAGGTTATGGGGAGAGTTGATAAGAAGACTGGTTTTATTATTCCTTATTCTACTCCTAGGGAAGAGAGGCCAAACTTGTGTTTCTAGAATTCATCCGGGGGGGCTTCTGTGAAGAGAGAAGGGCCAGGCTGGAGCCCGCTGAGCGGAGGAGGGGGAGTGGGAGGAGGGGGTGGCGGTGGGAGACGGGAGGAGCCGCAGGGAAGGCAGCGGGGCCGTCCCATCGGGATCAGGCTGCCGGCTGGGCGGTGCGATGGCTGCGTCCGCTCCGCGGGAGGACACCTTCCTGAGGGTCTGGAAGGGCGGGCTTGAGTGCCAAGCTCTGACGCTTCAGAGGCACTTGCCAGCCCCCCAGGGCTCGCTGCCAGCCTCTGGCCACCTGGTTCCCTCCTGCCCCACAAGGGGTCTCAGGGACACACATGCAGAGGCCCTGGCCTCAAGCCCAAGTTCTAGTCATGTCCCCCACATCCCAACCTCTGGCAAACGGCCACCCCTTGGGCCGTGGGGTGTGTGTGTGTGTGTGTGTGTGTGTGTGTGTGTATCTCTATCTCTATCTATCCCATGGTGATGTGAACCCAGACCCTACAGGTGGGCTTGTGTGCAGTCTGTAAGTAGGAGGGATGTGGCCTCTTCGGATCCATGGACTCCCTGCCTTGTGGAGGGAGACACAGCTGGAGCAGGTCCAGAATGAAGCTCTCGAAAGTGCAGGAGTCCCTCTCGCCTGAGTCGAAGGCTGGGACTGAGGGGTAGAGCTGTCCAACACCCCACAAAGAGCATCTTTGAAAGTAGCAGGTGAGGTTGGGTGCGGTGGCTCACGCCTATAATCCCAGCCCTTTGGGAGGTTGAGGTGAGAGGATTGCCTGAGTCCACGGATTTGAGACCAGCCTAGGCAACCTGGCGAGACCTCATCTCTACAATAAATCAAGAAAAACTAGCTGGGCTTGATGGTGCATGCCTGTAATTCCAGCTACTTGGAAAGCTGAGGCGGAAGGATTGCCTGAGCCCAGCAGGTTGAGGCTGTGGTGGCGGTGAGTGTACCACTGCACTCCACCCTGGGCAACAGAGTGAGACTAGCTAAAACACAAAAAAGTAGCAGGTGAATAGCTGTGATAGCTAGTTCTATGTGTCAACCTGACTGGACCACAAGTTGCCCAGATAGCCGGTTAAACAGTAATTCTGGGTGTGTCTATGAAGATGTAAGAGACCAGCATTTGAACTAGTAGCCCGAGTAAAGCAGACGACTGTTCCCAGTGTGGGTGGGTGTCATCCAGGGAGCTGATGCAGCCTTGACCTCCTGGGTTCAGGCGATCCTTCCACCTCAGCATCCCAAGTAGCTGGGACTACAGGAGTACACCACCATGCCCGGCTAATTTATTTATTTTCTGTAGCGATGAGGTCTCGCTATGTTGCTCAGGCTGGTCTCAAATTCCTGGACTCAAGCAATTCACCCACCTCAGCCTCCCAGAGTGCTGAGATTCTAGGCGTGAGCCACTGCACCCGGCCCTTCCTAGGCACCAGGAAAGACTTCAGTTAACTCTGGGATTTGACGTTGCAGTAAGATCCCCAGACAAGACAGAGTTCTCATCTCCCTAGCTAGCAGGGAGCTCAGAACCATATCTGACTTGGAAAAATAAAGTAGTATGGCATGTCCTGACTCTATCCGGTATGATATGTACATCGATAATAACAAATACATATACTTCAGAATCATAACATGCTCACAGACCTGCTCTCTGCCCTGTTCATATGTTTTCCTTTGTACACGGTTGTATACGTGATAAATTCCTTGAAGGCATGAAGTAGCTTTTTCATCGCGTTCCTAGCTGAATCCACCACAGGGCCTTGCACACCATCAGATGTCCAGCAGCTCATCTGTTGAGCTGAATGGAAATCAGTTTAAACACGTATGGTTAAGGGTATATTACCTTGTTACAGTGTTTTTTAGGATTAATGGTGGTTTTTTTTCTGCTTCTGTATTAAATTAGATGAGAACAATCATTAAGCTTCCTTTAAAGTAAATAAATGTGATCCTTTGAAACTTTAAATAAATGTTTAATTCCTAAAGACAATTTCTGGTAAATCCCCGTGATACATACTTTTCCTTTAAACAAAGTTAGTACAAAATGACAGGAAAACTGACAGCTTCAGACAGTCTTGATCTTTGCAGCTTCACCGCTGCCTTCTCCCTCCTCACGTGAACTCTGCAGTGTATGAGTGTCCTTAACACGAGGGGAGAGCATATCTAGAAAAGCAACATCCTGTACAAAACACAATTAGAGAGCCTAAGCCACGGGGGGGAGCCAAAATCCTGGACGGAGTCTCGGCAGTTGCTTTGAGGCTGGGCTGACAGACGGGGTAGCAGCCTCGGCCCTGACCCTGCGTGCGAGTTAAGCCGCCACCAGCTCGGCCGCTGCCCCACAGCTCAGGCCCGGCAGCCAGGCCGCAGCGGGTCGCACAGAGACACGGGCTTCAGGCCTTCGTAGATGAGCTCAGCTGCCTTCGTGTGAAGCGTCTTAGCCAACACTGATGGAAACGGGTTCGCAGAGGGACAGCACACGCTATTCTCGACGCTGGGAGCGGGGGAGACAGCCAGGGTTCTGAGCCACCAGTAAGGCAAGGACACTGGGCCCTCGGAGCAGAAGCAGAGGGAGCCACCAGAGTCTGGACTCGAACTCGCGTCTTCGCTGGCTGTTCTCAACGTGCCGCAACTAACCGCATCGTCCACCCTTCCCTTACCGAGCCCGTCAGCAGCCCAGATCCCAGGTCACCGGGCACATTCCCAGCTCTAATCTGGAAAGGAAGCAGAGCAGATAATGTAAAATGCCACCCAAAGGCGCTACGGGCCCACCTGCAAGTCACAATACTTGGCCCCTACAAAAAAGTCCAAAAAGAAAAAGGGAGCAGGTGAGGGAATAGACAACAATAGTGTGGGACCTGGCACTACGACCTCCTTGACTGAAATGTCACACTATCAAGAATAGCTGCTGAGAGATTATGGGCACGGTGTTTCTGAGAAACAATTGTTTCTCAGTTGCCAGAATTGTAAAAAGTTCCCATTAAAACGAACGAATGCCATCAGCGACCCCCAGCTCTGGAACGCTCTGGGGCCCAACAGTCTCCATCCCTGTGCCCAGCTGCTGTGGCAGGAAGTCTGGTGGGTGTGACCGGGACACTCGGGAGCATCCTGGCTCCCTGCTTTTCATCCTCAGTGCTGAGTATGAATCCACATCCCCAGACTCATAAGCGAACAGAGGCACTTCTTTATCAGCGCCTCAGACACACCGCGCCACTTCCTGAATACGTTTTCCCTTCTACTGAGAAAGCCTGTTTGGAAGTCAGACTCCAATAACTCTTCCTCTGCATCCAAGTGGGAAAAGGGGCCCAGGTCCCAGAGTTGAGCAGGCCTGTGTGAAACGAACTCTGCTCAGAAAAACCTGTTACACCAAGAGAAAGATGGGTTTTCACGATTCCATCAGGGTGGGTGTTTTTATTATGAAAAAAAAAGCATTTACAGCCTACTGTTTTAAGTGAAAATAACTGTTTTTTTCTTGTTCTATAGCTTGCTTTTTTGGGTACACAGACAATAATGACCAAAGTGCTGACTCCAAATGAGATCCTGTTTGCAATTTTTAATTAAGCAATCCGTGCATTTTTTTTTTCTCTTCAACATTAGGAGGAAAGAAATTGACACTTGGGGGCCCGGTGGAAAACAGAAAATGCTTTCTCGTCTCAAGCAGATTTCAAAGCAGGGGAGTGCAGGCAGGCAGTGCCCAGGCTCTCAGTATTCCTCAGGACTGCTTGATTGTAAGTCTCGCAGATACGAATCAATTATGTTTGGAGGCACGCCTTGTAAGAGGAGCCTGCAGAAGGAGAGCCCACCTAGAGGGGACACAGAAGAAAGGCACAAGTCAGAAGCATCTGCATGAAGACCACTGAAGCCATACTCTTGACTAGCTGCCTGGAGACGTGACCGAGTACGTTTCCGTTAGTTGCAAAGACTCATTCAGTCCCTACTTGGAACCCTCTCCTGGTTTTAGTACATTTAGAATTTAAAGCACTTGGCAGATAGAAGGAAAAGAAAGTTCCCAGCAGACCCACAGCGGAGTTTTTCTTCTACTGCTGTTCAATCTTGGTTTAAATTCCTAAATGGCTGGAAAGCATTCATTGCTCTTTGAGAGGGTTTGTGATTCCCTCCAGGTGACTTAAACGCTCTGCCTGAATGGCGAGAATAAGCGCAGGACATGTTGTGGGTCAGCAGGAAGCTCTGTTTCCAGATGGTTAATATTCTTTTTAATTAAGCACAGAAAGTTCCCATTCAAGCACACTAGAAAGAAAACGACTCCCTTTCACTGTGGTCATTCATACATTGTCAGAAGTGCCAAAATTACCAGTCCAATACCTTCTGAAGGTAGAGAAACACCTCCTAATATTGTGTACCTACCTTCTAGGTTTCTGAATTACATTTAAAAGAATCACAGTGCCCTTCAAGAAAGATCCATGAAACCACAACATTCATGGGCCTTCAGTGAAGCGCTTCACTACGTGCTAGCAAATGCACGTCCAGACACAACAGCATGCCATCGGAACATTCTTAAAACCTCTTTAATGCAAGTCTGAGAAAGTCATTCTCCTTTCCAAAAAACAACTCAAGTCACATATGGGTAGAAACGATGCCGCGTGTGTGCACGTCCATTCCTTGATGCAAAGAAGTCAGAACGCGCGGGGCCCGCTCGCTCCCATCTACTCAGTGCTCTGCGTCATGCTCTACCGCATTCAACAACTCGCTCCACGTCAGCAGGAGGCTGCTGTGATGCATAAGCACTAGCTGTTAATTTCACGATACTGAAATACAAATGAAAACCGCACAGTTAGAGATTTTAAGGAGTCTGTTTTCATTGGATTCCACGATGAAAATCATGCCATACTCCACAGGCTCGGTATGGCTTATGACAGTCATAAGCTTCATATGCCAAAGCCATATGAAAGCTTACCTTAGATGACATTATACATTCACAAATCCTTACTGTGCTACAACTAAGGAAAAGAGAGAAAGGGAGAGAGAGAGAGAAGTTGTAAGCATTTACAAAGTGCTAACACCACAGTTGAGTACTTGCTGGATGAAATTACAGTCACAATTACGATGAGGCGACTCATCAATCCTTAGTCATGTGAAAGGTGTAGGACAGAAGCACATGGATGAAGGGTGGGTGTCCAGTCACTTCACAAGGTCATTAATATGTAAAACACTTATTAATATGCACAGCTACTTTGCTGGAAGAGGTGGCAAAGCCAATCTGACTGTACAGGGAATATTTACGGCAGGAGCTTCCAAACCATTAGCTGAAAACAAAAACCAAGACAAAAGCCCTACAACATATATATATCGTGTTTTTCAACAAAAGAAAAACATAGACAACAGACAAAGTGTTAGCGTACATATATATATGTTGAAATTCTAAAAGGCAAAATTATCAAGTCTAGCTATTAGACTAGTGTGTTCTATAATATTATAGGCTGCACTGCCATATAACTGATTTAAAAGAACCCAAAACTTAAACTTAGGCTAAAAGCTATTATATGTACAATCTACAAAACTTTCAAGAAAGAACCTTACTTTTTTCCTTTTTTGAAAGCTGATACTACCTCTGGAAATTCACAAAACAAATATTGTAAACTCAGGCATAGATCTATAAAGAATTTACGTTAGGTTGTTTACCTATTCCCAAAGAACTCTCAAATTTCTCTTTCAAATAGAAGTGAATGATTCACTCATTTATTTATTTACTTATTGAGTTGGGTCTCACTCTGTTGCCCAGGCTAGAGTGCAGTGGCATGGTCATGGCTCACCACAGCCTCCCTCTTCTGAGCTCAAGCAATCCTCCTGCCTCACCCAAGAAGCTGGGACTACAAGGCATGCCACCATGACCAGCAATTTCATTTTTACTGTTTTGTAGGGACGAGGTTACCCTGTGTTGCCCAGGCTGGTGTCAAACTTCTGGGCTCAAGTGATCCTCTCGTCTCGGCCTCCCAAAGTGCTGAGATTACAGGCGTGAGCCACTGCGCCTAGGCAGTACTCACTGATTGCTTAATGCAATTTGTAATGGGACTCAGAATTTCCTTTTCTTTCAAGTTCACAAACATATGAAATAATTTTGGTCTCCATGAAAATGAACAAAATGTTCAACAGATAGATGGGCTACAGATATTCTACTGGTGTCTTTGTACTTGGAACATCTTAAATAAAAAAAAAGTTTCCAAATACTGGATCTATTTTTATATCCTCCCTCTATCAAAAATGCCCAGGACATATTTTTTGTATAACTAAGCCAGTTTTAAAATGTTTGGTTCTCTGAGTCTCATCATGAATGTAAGGAAACTATGCTGCAAGCTATCTTAAAGGAAGACTATATCTTTCTACGTGTAAAAAATGAAAAAAAAAATTACAAACATATAATTGACTCCAAGGTTTTATAGTCTTAAAATATAAAGGGAGAGCATCTTCAAATGTGGCTTTCTGACTTTCTGTGGTACAGTACTTAGTTTTCTGATAAAACCTAGTTTCTACATTACTTAATATCCTTGAATAATTTGGCCTTCCTTGTTCATGGCATAAACACTGAATGCCATGAGCTGTTAAGAAAAACAGTAAAAGCAAATGAGAATGTCAAGCTTTACATGCAAAGTGCGTTTTCATGTAAGAGGAATGGAACGGAAAGTAGAAATATCCAGTGGGATATGAATTTTTTAAACCTGTTGCTGCCCCTCCAGGAAGACTGGCTGTCCAGGGGTATTTACTCCTTGATATATCACTGCAGAAGCAGAATATTTGTACCAGTATTTATTTATTCTCAGTTGACATTCTTACCTTTTTTTACAGCTTAACTTGATTCGAGTTACCTATTATCAGATAACAATCTGATGATAAACAATTTCAGCTTCACTTTTAGGACCAAAACCTTTAATCAACATATCACAGTTGATACCTTATATAAGCTTATGCACTAGCATACATTATCCTTATTATCAAATTCAATTACTGTACAATTTACTATTCAATTACTAAAAAGAATATATCATGTATATGCGTAACATTATTCACTTTTAAGGAGGGCCCCAAAGATCTGTTTGTGAAAGTATCATTTTATATATCAGTTATATTCACTTTTAAGGAGGGCCCCAAAGATCTGTTTGTGAAAGTATCATTTTATATATCAGTTATTTTCAAAGCATGAATAAATGGAACAAATTTTTTTTTTCTTTTTGAATGGATATTGAAACATAAGTATCAGCAATACTTTGGAACAAATAAGGCTAGTAGTTCAGAAACCAGATAATCTAATTGTGATCTTAATAATCACTTAAAGCTAATAAAGCAGCTAAAGATAAAGTTTAAATTTGTAAGGACTATCTCAATAGAAGGGCTTAAGATATTCTGAGAATACTTGTTATATGCTATATATTTGAGAGAAAAAATAATTTTTTCCTTTCACCCAATAATGAATCCTAAGAGAAAGAATACTGCTTTTACAAAGTTATAAAAGGAAGTTGTTTTGTTCAAGAAAATCTCTATCATATTTATACTAGATTTAAGGCTAAAAGACTCTTTTTTAAAAAAACATAAATAGCCAAAACATTTACTATGATTTTCTAAAACAGATACTGACAAAGTTATCTTTCTGACTTTTAGACCAAAATTTCTTCATTATAGAGAGGGAGGAGAAACAGAGACTGGTTATCACAGAATGACAATCGAATACACTTAAGAACGCAAGAAAACACATTAGGATCATGTCAGCGCTCATCTCTCAATGCCGACTCTTTGTTTGAAGGGGTTTTTGCCCTGAAGTAAGTTGTGCTTGCCAAGAACGACTTCGCCAGAAAGGACAGGCGACTATGATACACCCTGGCTGGGGTGGCAGGTTATGCCGAGACTTTCCTACCACCACATCTGGATGTGTTTTCTTGGCTTACATTAAGCGCCACGCTTCTGAAAACCAGTATAAATGAAATTATACCTATAAATGGAAACTCTCTAGTTCAAGGTTTTTAAAAGCAACTAGTTATATGTGTATGCTATATTCAATATGTGTCATTGGGAAACTTACCCATATAAATATTGGAAGTTCCACAAAATAGTAAACTAATTAAAAACAGCACGAATTCCCCAAAGCACCTTCTCTAGATGCAAGCTGCAGAAGGCTTCTGCTCAGAGATGCGCCACCACCAAGTGCCAGCCCCTCCTGTGTTCACCCTTACTATGCTGTGCAGACTAATACTCCACTGAAATTAACATGCCTTTATTCACAAGAACCACAAGGGTCACAAGTAGGTTGACTCACATCACCGAGGGGCCTTCCACGAATAAAGCAGAGTGAATGCAGGCTGTGAAGATGTCTCCTCTCCCCAAACTCCCTCCCTGCTCTCCTCGCCCCACCTCCTGGCCCCGTCCTGCCCCAGAATCCTGGCAAACACACTGGGTTCTGCATTAGGCACAGGACTTGAACGGTCTTCCTTGAGTTCTGCGTGCATACGCGCCCTCAAATGGCCTACCTTTCACCTCCAGCTTGCACTCCATCTCCACCTCGCCGAGGCTGTTGGCGGCTCTGCAGCAGTACATGCCGCCATCGTAGGGGCTGGGCTTGCGAATCTCCAGGGTGCAGACGCCCTGGTTGCTGAACATCCTGTATCTGGGGTCATCCACGATAGCAACTTTGTTTTTCATCCAGGTTATTTTAGGCTGAAGTGAACATTGTAGAAAGTCAGGTCAAAGTATGTCTGAACTTAGCATGTTAACAGGCCATCAAAGCCAGTGACAGAATTGCAAAGCACGGCCTACAAAGAAAGCACATCGAGAAGAACAGACATCCACTCGAGCACTGTTTCTCTCACGTTAAACTCTACTTAGCACTTGGCAAAGAAGCAAGCGAGCAGTTCTGAAGAAGAAAGCCAGAGCTGTTTAGGGACGGCTCCAGGGCAGTCTCCCCAAAAGGATTCAGCTGAGTTTTCATCTCATCTGCAAACTTCCAGCTATGAGAGGAGCAAGCTATGGAGGTCTTTTGTACGCATGGTGGAGATGAATTAATTTGATTGTGATACATACAATGTGTACGTATATCAAATCATCATGTTGTCCACCTTGAATGGATACAATATTTGTCAATTATATATTTTCAAATTTAAAAAGGTTTTGACCTCAGGTCTATGGTGCGAACTCATCCTAGAGACGACATTTTTCAGAGACGCCCCATAACTCCTCTGATTTTTCTCCACTTCCTTACTCTAATATTCTTTTCTAATTAAAAGCAGCTTTTTAAAAAAGAGAGAGAATCTCACTGTGATGCCCAGGTTGGCCTTCAACTCCTGGGCTCAAGTGATCCGCCCACCTCAGCCTCCCACGTAGTTGTGACTATAAGGCACATGCCACCACGTCTGGGTCTAATTCTTTATGGGCTGTACATGCCTTTCATCATTTAAGCTCCCCTCTGGCATCTGCACTTATCAGCCAGTGGCAACGGACCTTCTCCAATGAGACAATGCACAATCGGTAATGACCCAACCGCCCAGGAAGGTGACTCCATCTCCGTGACCGCTGAACTGCATTTGCCGTCCCTAACCCTCCAGCGCCACTCAGACTTCCTTTTGTGCCTACGTGTCCCCACACTTTCCCTTCCACCTCTTCCACTGTGCCTGGCTCAGAGCCTAGAGAGCCTGCCTCTCCGTCTCCTTCGCACAGTCCTCTTCTTCCTTCCACCTGCCAAACGAGAGCATTCTCTGAGACACGGCCGTGCTCCTGGGCCTCCACTCACTGCCCGCTTTCCTCCATGACATTCCTCTCTAGAGCTCTGGCGAGGGGTGGGGTGTAGCGCCTCCAGGCCTGGGACTCCCACACGGAAGTAACAACTCAGTCTTCCTCCTCATTCCTGGGTGGCGCTCTCCATCTGCTTCCTCCTCCTACCCACACGGATGTGCCAGGGTCACTTCCACTTAAACACGAACTTGACATCTTCTTCCCATCCTCAGTCTGGCTTCTTCCTTTGACTTTCCTATTTCTAGTCAAGGTTAGCACCAAAAAAATGTGTAATTTTCCCAAATTCAGGAACACTTTTATCAGTGCCACCCAGGAGTATATATCTCCATGGGCAATATTAATTCATTGTTCTTTTCAAATGCCAACATAAAAACTTAAAACATGTCCTCAGTCAGATGTGATATCTCCTTCCTTAGCTCTCTGCACACTTACTAAAGCACATTTCCTATTCTGCCTTGCATTCAAGTGTAACTGTTATTTACTTTAGCCTATTACAGAACTCCTGATGAATCAGCATGACCACCTAATTTTCCAGCAAAACAATACTGCTTCCATCTTCTTACCTTAGTCCTTTTAAAAATAGAAAATAGATCAGTTGCTCTTTCTTTAGAAGGTATCCCTTAGTAAAGAAACACAGGAGTTTTTACTACTACATTTGAATAGTGCAGCCAATTATCCATCAACAATACCACCCTCCACTCCCTCACCCTGAAAGATGCAAACAGCAGTGGGAAGGTCCATTGTGTCACTTACGATTATAGCATGGCAAATAAAAAAGAGAGACTCTGCAGTCAATTCTTTACGTAACTGCTGTGATAGAAAAACATACCTTGGGATTCCCTCTCACGCTGCAGTTCAGGGTGGCATTGTAACCAGCCACAGCATAGGTGTTCACCAGAGGCTGAGTAAACATGGGTGCCTCAGTGAAATCAAAGTCTTCATACACTGGATTTTTGTAGACTTTACCTTAAAAACAAGTGTTTAAAATGTGTTAAGATATGCAAATTGGCCTGAGAATATATTATTCTTGGCAGACTTCACTCCGGATTAAAATTTCCCTGAGTTAGCCAAGCACAGTGGCTCACACCTGTAATACCAGCACTTTGGAAGGCTGAGATGAGAGGAATGACCAAGCCCAGGGGTTTGAAACTAGCTTAGGCAACTTGGTGAGACCCTGTCTCTGCAATAAATCACAAAAATTAACTGGTTGTGGTGGTGCACCCCTGTAGTTCCAGCTACTTGGAAGGCTGGGGCAGAAGGATTGTCTGAGCCCAGCAGGTGGAGGATGCAGTATGCCACTGCACTCCAGCCTGGGCAACAGAGTGAGACTCTGACTCAAAAACAAACAAACAAGCAAACAAACAAACAAATTAAGAGTAACTGCCACATGGGATAAGTTCTGACAGGCACAAGTGCACAGCCAATGCCACATGGGGTAGAAAGTCAGAGTGGTCATCTGAAACTGAGACAGATACTGTGAAGACTTTGGTGCTTTCTGAGTATTCTAACAGAACCAATTGTAATGTGGAAATCACAAGGAAGGACTTTAAGGAGGTTTATGATGAAATGATAAGGACAGAACTGAGTTTCTCCTTCCGTTGTAGAGTGGGTCCCATGTGTAGCTACACTGAATGTGTCCAAGAATAAAAGTAACAGAAACTCTAGAAGGAAATGTCTATTTTTTTCTGCCCTGTGATTTTAGCCACTTAAAGATTCACTGCCCAGAAGCTGCAATTAATTAAAGCCTATATTTGTAAAAATGCACTAGTAATATAATTTTACTTGAGAAATTCTACCTGCAAAATGAAAAGTTTACTTGAACACTGGACCATAATTCTACACTGTGTGTTTACTGTTTTGTTTCTTTTCACCACGCCTGCTCTTTCCAGTCTTCTCTACCTAATCCCCACCAGTCAAGGTTCCCAAGTGCCAGTCCACTCCCCACTCACCGTCCTTGGCGATCACAGCACTCTCTTTGGTCATCGTTGCATCCTCACTGAGGCCGCACATGTTTTCAGAAAAGACCCGAAAGTAATACTCATTGCCTATGACCAGTTCAGTGATGGTGGCATTGGTTCTGTGATAATGCTCGATGACAGTGAACCATTCCTAGAGAGAAAAAAACACATAATAATTTGAGGAAATCACTTAAAAATAAACAACTTTTCCAATTGTTGACTGGAATAAATAAGAAGGATGCTTCATTAACAACAACAACAAAAGCAGCACTCAATTCTATATGGAAAGTAATAACAACGTACATTTAATTTGTTTAATATTTTACCAAGTATTTATATTTGACTGTATAATTTAATCTTTATTTACACATTAGATTCATACAAACCCTGGATGTTACCTCCTTCATATTTTCTTCATAACCATATGGTGTGTGGCATCTATTTTTCTACATGCCTACCTACTTGTCTGTCTATACATCTTTTGTAGAACAAAGTATCATTGCAGACTTTCAGTGCCAACTTGTTATGAGGAAGAGATGAAGCTAAATCACTAGAGAAAAATTAATAGTACCTAGTAAATTTGCTTACTATTGGTTCTTTCGGGTCTTTGCTCAGACAGCACCTCCTCCCCACCTGTTTCCCCACCACCTGGCCTCTGCCACCCTCGTCTGCCCAACGTTTCCCACAGTACTTGAGTCATCCTACGTATCCACTGTTTTACTTGTTGACTATCTACCCCCCTCTGGAGTGAACACACCATGATAGAAAGCCTGACTTTTCTTCTCACTTCTGGTATTCCCAGTGCCTGTCACAGTACCTGGCATATAGTAGGTACTATGCACAAATCAATAGTTACTGAACACTTAATAAATGAATGAGAAGTTAAAGCTACATTAAATTATTTTTCTCACCACACCAAGAAATATAGTGGTTTTAAAATTTATCTTGCGCCGGGCTTGGTGGCTCAGCCTGTAATCCTGCACCTTTGGGAGGCTGAGGTGAGTGGATTGCCTGAGCCTGCGGGTTCGAGACCTGCCTGGGCAGGCGAGACCTCATCTCTACAATAACTCAAAAATTAGCTGGGCATGGTAGCGCGCGCCTGTAGTTCCAGCTACTCAGAAGCCTGAGGTGGAAGGATCGCCGGTGCCAGCAGGTCAAGGCTGCGGTGGCCGGGAGCGGCCACTGCATTCCAGTCTGGGCGACAGAGGGAGATTCCAACTCAAAAAAAAAAAAAAAAATTTATCTTGCAACCAGAAAACCACATGATACCACATATTTTTAGCACCATTAATTAAGAAAACACATTTGCTGATAAGAAGACACTTCATTAAACAAAGTATTTTCATGGAACTTCTAGGGGCTCTCATCGTCTATCAATTTTCGATATTATAAAGACACCAGACAAATGTAGTTATGCCTTCCTTTATTCCCAAAGCACTTTAGGCAAACTTTCATTCTAATTTATATTATACTGTGCTATAATTTGTTTTGTTTTGTTTTGAAGAGACAGAGGCTTGGCCGGGTGTGGTGGCTCAAGCCTGTAACCCCAGCACTTTCAGAGGCCAAAGCAAGAGGCTTGCCTCAGCCCAGGGATTTGAAACGAGCCTGGGCAACTTGGCGACATCTTGTTTCTACAATATATCAAAAAATTAGCCAGGCATGGTACTGCATGCATGTAGTTCCAGCTACTTGGAAGGCTGAGGTGGAAGGTTCACGTGAGCCCAGCAGATCAACGCTGGGGTGGCCACAGGTATGCCACTGCACTCCAGCCTGGGCGACAGAGTGAGACTCTGACTCCAAAAAAAAAAGACAGTGTCTTGCTATGCTATGATGCCCAGGTTGACCTCGGACTCCCAGGCTCAAATGATCCTTGTGCCTCAGACTCCTGTGTAGTTGGGACTACAGGTGTGCACCACCACATCTGGCTTATCTTTTGGTTTTATATCTTTCTTCTTGCTTAGACTGTGAGTGCCCCAAGAGCAGGAGCTTTTTATTTATTTTTATTTTTATTTTTCTGAGTTGGAGTCTCACTCTGTTGCCCAGCCTGGAGTGTAGTGGTATGCTCATGGCCACCGCAACCTCGACCTGCTAGGCTCAAGTGATCCTTCCGCCTCAGCCTTCCTGGAACTACAGCCAGCTAATTTTTTGATTTATGTAGAGATGAGGTCTCACCAAGTTGCCCATGCTGGTCTTGAACCTGTGGGCACATGCAATCCTCTTACCTCGGCCTCCCAAAGTGCCGGGATTATAGGCGTGAGCCACTACGCCTAGTGAATAGGAGCTTTTTAAAATTGTTTGATTCAAGCTGGGCACAGGGGCTCAAACCTGTAATCCCAGCACTTTGGGAGGTGGAAGTGAGAGGATTCCCTGAGCCCAAGAGTTTGAGACCAGCCTGGGAAATTTGGCAAGATCTTGTCTCTACAATAAATCAAAAAGTTAGCCGGGCACGGTGGCGCACTCCTGTAGTTCCAGCTACTTGGATGGCTGAGGTGGAAGGATCGCCTGAAACCCGCAGGTGGAGGCTGCGTTAGCTATGATTATGCCACTGCATTCCAGCCTGAGTGACAGAGTGAGACTCCGACTCAAAAAAAAAATTGGTTTGATTCAGCAGCAAGAATATCAACATATAGTAAGAGAATGAAAAACAGCATTTTGGCACACAATGGAAGCAGTGTTTCGGAAGGCGTGAATGCCCACAGGAGCCGAAGTGAAGAACAGCATCTGCAGCCACAGGGAGACACCACACAGTGATCTCCCGGAAGAGCACCGCAGAGTGAGCATCTCGCTTCGCTAGGTTTGCCCCTGCTAAAATCCAGTAGGGATTAGGGAATCGCCACCATCACCAGGCAGACCTCAGTCCCACGAAGCAGCAGGAAAGGCCTGGCCTGCCTTGACTTGACTAGATGTCTAGGAAGACAAATGCTGGGCCATTCTGACAGAGGGGTGAGAGCTGGGGCCGCCTGAAGGGCCCTCTTCAGGACCCAGAGTGTCCTGGGAACATGCCGGAATCAGGCCCATGTGCCAGCAAAGAGCCCCATTGCTAAGGGTTCTAAGACGTTCACATCCTTCCTTTGCAAGGTCCTTCTTCAGTCTAGCTCTTGAGCAGTCCAGATTTCAGTGAAAGACATCGTTTTGAACATCAAATTTTATTTGTCATGTAACATTCACCAAGGAAAACAAAAGTTGTACTGGAAATAGTTTATGGAAAAAACTGGCTTCAAACCCCTTCCGGTTGCTGAGACCGTCCTTCCAACTTTCTCTCCTTCCATGAATCTGAAGTGACTTCATGACCTAAGTTCTCACTGAGAGCTATTAGTGCAAATGCTTGGAGACTTCCTATCATTTAGTGTGCTTTACTCTTAGTAGGAGAGTGAAAATAGCTCTATGTCACTGTGTGTGTGTCTGTCCAAACGTCCGTCCGTCCATTCATCCGTTCATCCACTCTTACTCACTCACAGGCAGGAGCAGAGTATAGTGGATGGTTTCTGTGCAGACTTGGACACTTAAGATCTGGTGACCTCCAGCAAGTCACTTATCCTCTCTAAGCCTCAGTTTCCACATCTACAAAATACAGGTTTAGTAATTCACACTCCAACTAGGCTGCTTCTTGAACACATTAAGCTCTTTTCCTCCTCAAGGCCTTTGTGCCTTTGTACATGCTGTAACCTTTTAGAATCTCTTTCCTAATTGATATCTTTTTTTAAAGACCTAAGTCCATACTATCCAACATTTATTTCACAAGGAGAAGAGTCGCAGGGGTGTAAATCTGAGACTCTAGAGTGATGAAATACATGTCGAATGAATGAATTTACTGAATTCTATTGAGCACTGCACCAGCTGCTTTATATTATTTCAGCTTCACAATAACCAAGCAAGGTAAGTATCTGGAGCCCCATTTTGGAGATGAGGAAGATGGAGGTCAAAGAGGTCAGGTGACTGTCCATCTGCACATGGCTTTAGGTGGCGATGCCGGGGCCCAAGTCCACCGCAGTGGCTCCAAGGTACTCGCCTTTCCACTACGCCACATCACTTCTTCACGGCCCCCATGGGCTCCTCGCCAGTGAGGACCTCGTGCCGCCCCCTCACCTTTGATGAAAGGCGACTCTGCTGTGGAAAGCGGCCTTACCATGCTCTTCTTGTCAGCCTTCTGGATGGTGTACCCTGTGATGGAGGCGTTTCCATCATCCTTCGGTGGTGTCCACGTGAGTGCCACATTCTCTCCCCAGACATCCTCAATCTTCACCACTTGGGGTGGACCCGGACGGTCTGTGGACGAATTCACAACATCACTGAGAGGTCCCCTTCACTCCCAGCCTATACCCTGTTAAGTCAGGATATTTTTAAGTGTCCCTCTCTACGTGATGGGAGGCAGTGCTGTTCCAGACCCTACACGAGGTCTCCTGAGACCCTGTGCTGCCAGTGGGCTGGAGCCAGGCAGATCCAGGGCTCAGAGTCGACCCAGAACTGCCCACAACTTAGCAGCTCACAGAAGCTCAGCCAGTGAGAAAGCAGTGCTTAGTTTAAAGGGCATGACCTTTCACCCTAGGGGACAGTGTCATAGGAAGTTGCCCCTTTGGTTAGAGAGCCTCAAGCTTCAGCAAATTTACTGAAATTTAATGACTAAAAATGATTGGAAATAAGGCTTTTCCTAGCTCTGCTCTTAAATTTATTTCTTAACAGGGTAAAACTTACAGAACAGTTCCAGCAAGAGGGGCCCAGCCATAAGGAGTCCTCCTTTGATTCTCCCAACTCTGGACAGAAGAACGAACTGACCTTATTCATTCCTTGGGCAAGTAAGTATCTACTATCCACCTAGCCTTGCAGGATCAACCAGCTCAGTGTTTAACGGTTTAATTCTGTTGAAGTACATCTTCCTTATATTTAAGAAACATTCTTCATTCTCCATTAAAACTTCATTAGGTGGAGTAAGGAACATGTTAAACTAGGTCTAGAATCTATAATTTTTTTAAAACTCAGAGACAAAACTTACTAAGAGTCTACAATGCTTTTTGCCAGGTGCAGGGGCTTATGCCTGTAATCCCAGCACTTTGAAAGCCAAGGCAGGGGGAATGCTTTAGCTCTGGTATTCTAGACTAACCTGGACAACATAGCAAGACTTCATTTCTACAAAAAATAAAAAAAATGAGTGGGTGTGGTGGTGCATCCCCGTAGTCCCAGCTACTCGGGATGCTGAGGCAGAAGGGTTGCCTGAACCCATGAGGTTGAGGCTGTGGTGAGCCAAGATTGTATCACTACACTCCAGCCTGGGTGACAGAGTGAGACTCTGTCTCAAAAAACAAAACAAAACACAGAAAAAAAGACACTGTTTTTTAACACAAGGATTCAATACAGGACACAGTTTTATCACCAGGGAGCTAAGAAACGAAGACTAAGAGAGTTTGAGTGTAAAGCACCACAGACGGATTTCACTGAAAAGTACATTCCATAATTTTCTTGAACACATATACCCTAAGTCTCCCACAACTAGTCCCTTCATCACTTAGTCGGTGAAATCATTTAGAAATGCTAGCACATTTATTGTTTAAAACAAATCTAAAAATGATAATTTTACATAAAGCCAGCCTAACAAAAACTCTTCCTCTTGTCTTGACGACAAGAACAATCAGTCCTGAACCGCTCTGACAGACATTCCGGTTCTTCTCTCCAAACCTACCAACAATCTGGATGTCGATCGATGCACTCTCCACGTATTTGTCCACTTTGACCTGCAGGTCGTACTTCCCCGAGTGGCTTCTCTCTGCCTTCCTGATAAAGATGATTGTGTCAGTTTCAGAGTTGCGAATGTTTATCTGATTCTTATCAATTTCTTGACCATCCTTCTTCCAAGTTAATTCTGGTCTTGGTTTTCCCTGAAAAGAAAGACAGAAAAAGGAGAGGGGGAAGTAACATTGTCTCAAGATGCTCTTTCAGCATTACAGGAACAACAGCGGCTTAACCAGTTCTGGATAGATGGGGAACACCAGCTCCCAACTGCTGACCGTGCTCTACGTCCAAGGCGCTACATGTTGACAATTTCTCTTACTTGTCACATCAAGGTCAGTAACATCATCCTCAGTTTTTGGATTGAGGATGCAAGTGATTTGCCCAAGACTTTGCAGCTGAGTACATGCTGGAACTGTGTGTCCCAGCCAGGTCTCCAAGGGTCCAAAGCCTGACAACACACACAGTGGTAAAGAGCATGGGCTCTGGGGCCCTGGAATCTGTATCTAATTCCCGGCCACTGGATAGCTGTGGGACCCTGGACAAGTTGCTTAAACTCTCTGTGCCTTGGTTTTCAATCTGCAAAACAGGAATAACGGTAGTAATTATCCCAAAGGGTAGTTATAAAGATTGAAGTCCTGAGAAAGTTTCTGTACACTATATAAGTGTTTTATTGATATCACCTAAATGCTAGTGATTATTATTCCGTTGTACTGCTCTGGGCATTTCAGACTTGTCTACAATTCTCTCTCTGCTTAAGTTATTCTTTGAGAGCAGACTTTAAGAAATCATAACCTCATTCATGGACATGAATCTCAGTTTCTATTACCAAGGAACTTCCTAGAGCCCCTGAGCTCCGGCTCATCCCAGCAGACAAGAACCAAGTATTAGTCCAGTCAGGAAAGGCACAGCTTTCCCTTGGGCTCTGAATGTAGCTCGTGCGTGGCTAGGCTGGGATGAGGGACTGGAGTAACACACACTGGAACCCGCCCCAAAGTAGAAGTGCTCAGTCCTGCACTTGGGAAGCAGAGAACAACACTATCAAGGGCAGAGAGAAATTTCCAGCAGTATTTACTGCAATGGACAACATGCTGTTGGCTACTGGGGAAGATGTGGGTTTTCTAATCACATACGGCATGAAAAAGCTCCAACTCAATCAGGGGACATAAAACCTGCCTCGGCCCAACCATTTACTTGTGAGACCTGGGGAAAGTTACTTAACTTCTGTCTCCCTGTTTCTTTCCTTCTCAAGCAGGGGCGAGGAAATCTGCTCTTCTGACCTCACACAGGTTCCTGAGCATCAAACGAGAAAATGTGCAGGGACTCTAGCAGCCACACAGATACACAAACATGACACTCTGGGTTCATCACTCCTTTCATGATGGCTGGGCATCCTGTGAAGCCAGACCTATGAGGTCTCTGTTCTGCTCTTTCCTCTCCCAGCCCAGTGACAGAAGCCAAACACAAAGACCCCCAAAACCTGGGAGCAGGGATCACCGGGGTGGCAGACATGATGGAGACTACAAGGCAGACTCCACAGCCCCCGAGCAGGGCTGGGGCCCCAGGGCTTGCCTCGCCGCCACGCCTGGCTTTATTTGAGGCTGTGGGAGGAGTCGGGTGGAGAACCTGCCAAGCCTCTCCTCTCCCCGCCATGTTCCACTTCTCCTTCTTGACTTTCCTTCTGACTTCAAGTGCTGTATGTGCAGCACGTAACGCTTCTTCTTAGGCGAGGGCCCGAGCGCCGTGAGGATGGCCTGAATGGCTGTCGCTGTAGCTTGGCTTTCATGGACGCCTGGGTTTGAACAGAGTGCTCTCTCTCTCTCTGTGTATGGGTGTGTGTGTGTATGAGTGTTCACATGTGTACAGAGACCCAAATTTTAAGACTGTGTTGTCTGATACCATAGCCACAAGCTATACGTGGCTATTTTAATTACAACTAATTAAAATAAATTAAATTTTATTTCTCCTGTCACACTAGCTCCCAGTCACACGTTTCAAGTGCTCAATGGTCACATGTGACTAGTGGCTCCTACATGGGACAGCACATACCTAGAATATTTCTGTTACTGCAGAAAGGTCTATTGAACAGCACGGTCCAGAGGCACTGGAGAAGTCGTGTGAGTAGGGAGCTAGGGGCAGGGACAGGGAGGTGCAGGGTGTGTGTGTCTGGGGGGGGAGAGGTGTGTGTGTGTGCATGAGACCAAAACTGACGACTGAAAGAAGCCTGGTTAATCTTGTGAAAAACAAATGCTTTTGCTGAAGCATTGATTTAGCTGTGTTCACACATTTCAGTTAGTATCATCAGGATCTCAAATTTCTGTTATGCCCTTACTGAAAATGTGTTTTTGGTTTGGAGTCAGAGTAGACACTAAGCGCAGACTGTTTTCCTAAAGGCGACACTGAGAGTACCACTTGGAATGATGAGTTTTACAGACATCAGGGTCAAGAATGTCTTCCTTGGCATCTCCTTGCTGCTTCTTCCCTGCTCTACTTCAGGTCCTGAACTTCAGGCAAGACTGGCTCTCATTCGGCTCGTGCAGAAAGAAAACCTGCGACATTTTCTAGATCTCCTGTTTCCACAGCAGGAGATTGTGCAGTCAGCCCCCAACTCTCTTCCGTTGTTTACCTGTTCTTCTTCCAAGGGAATCCTGATGCACAATGAACTTACGGGCTGAAACACCCAGCCCTGGAAAGAGAAGATGGGCGGCCCAAATGATTACCTGGTAGGGTATAACCAGATTCACGGCTTCTCCAACTCTGCGAATGTAGGTTTGCTTCAGGTGCCTCGGGACGCGAATCTTTGGAGGCTCTGAGTGAGGGTAGGAACAGCATAATTTGCAATCAGTATAGTCTCCGGAAAACAACCTTGCATAAACATCATGGCATGATGCCCACAGGCATATCCTTGTGGTCATGTCTCTGCAATAAAGTCTTTTCGTTTTGTGCCAGGGTCTCACTCTGTTGCCCAGGCTGAAGTGAAGTGGCACAATCACGGCTCACGGCAACCTCCAACTCCTGGGCCCAGGGAATTCTCCTGCATCAGCCTCCCAAGTAGCTGGGGCTACAGGCACACACCACCACACCTGGCTAACTTTTTATTTTAGTTTTTTATTTTGAAGATGTGGGGTACAATTCAGGGTTAGGTATTCAAATGTTCATTATGCAGGTACCCTTGTTGATGAGGTGTGCTTCCCCCCCAAGTAGTTTCCCACTACTGCCTTTCCCGCCCCACCCTCCCCTGGCAGTTTCCCAATACTCTAGCTAACTTTTAAAAAATTTTTGTAGCGATGAGGTCTCGCTATGTTGCCCAGGCTGGTCTCAAACTCCTGGGCTCGAGGAATCCTCCCACCTCAGCCTCCCAAAGTCCTGGGATTACAGGTGTGAGCCACTGTGTCCAGCTACAATAAAGTCTTATTTGTGCCACTTACAGCTTTTACTCGCATATGGTAACTTTGGTTCAAAGTGGTTTTTTTCAAGCAGAAATGGTTTAACAGATTGACTCAGCAAGGTTTATCCCTGACGTCTGACTTTATTGCAACTTCCTATTTTTATTGTTGTTATAAGACTAAAGCAACTTTATAGAGAAACACTACATTTCCTCTTGGGGTCTTATACATACTTTTCCTGGTTTCTAATATATTTGCAAGTATATTCGCCAATGAATATTCTACAAAAGATCACAGGCAGCACCATAGCTGGGAGGACTGTCCATTCTTTCACACCAGAAGAAAGAAAAATATGTTGGCCCCTAGTACTTGCTGTTGAGGTGACGCTGTGACGTCTGAAAGGTACTTTATCCCTGTGTGACAACAGTGGAGTGCCACTAGGCAGCCCTGGCCCCCCTAGACCCTAGAATATGTTGCTGCAAACCCACCAGGAGGAGGGAGTCAGAAGCTCACAGGCTCACGGAGATGATGCAGGTCTCATGACTCAAGTGCTTAGAATGTGACAGACACTGGGCTGAATGCTTCATTTACATGAGTAAATTGAACTCACAGCCACCTCGTGAGGGAGGTACTGATTCTACTTTGTGTGTGGAAATCACAGTCAGAGAGATCTGGATTTGAGTCCTAGATTAGACACTTAGATCTGGTCTCAGTCTCCTCTTCTCTGAAACAGAGACGATGGCAGCAGACCCACTTCCTGGAATGGTCGTGAGGCTAGATGAGGTCATCCATGTGAAGCATGTAGTATTGTGTCTGAGAACAGTCAGTGCTCAACAAGTGTTGGGAGACGGAGAGGATGGCGACGATGGCGATGAGTGCTGAATTTTGGGGTGGAAGGGACCCTGAAGAGATCCTCTGACTCTCTCCCTTTTCATATGAGGACATGGAGGCCCAGCAAGGTCCCATCGCAAATTAAACCGCAGCAACAAAAGCTAACACATACTGAGGGCTTATTATATGGCAAGCACTCTGTTAAGCACATAATGTTGAATGATTTATTCAACTCTCACAACCTCTTGATGTGGTATTATCCTCATTTTTCAGATGAAGAAATTAATGCTTAGAAAAATCAAGTCTCTTGTTCAAAGTCACACAGACAATAAGTGATGAAACAGGAATAAATCTACTCAGAGTGACTCCAGAATCTAATAAGAAAATGTGCATGCGTCATGCTTTATTTCACCCGTCCATTCATCCATCCATCCATCCACCCATCCGCCGACCCACCCACTCATCTGTCTGTCTGTTCCCTAACATTCCCAAACCTTTCAGGAGGTTCTTTATATGGGCTGTATCTATAACCATATTAGAAATGAAAACAGAAATTTTGAAATACTGTATTTATCCATTTAAAAATTACACATTTTAATAAAAAATAACTATTTTTATATTAACAAAGAACTTAAGTGAGATGAATTGCATTGTTTCGATATTCTGGCAAATCTCTTTGGTAAATGTCTGACTTACAAAGGACTGCTAGATTCTCATGTTTGTTTCTGCCTTTAGTTTCTGCTGCCATATGTTGGACTGATTGAAGTCGGACACAGATGGGGGAATATAAACTCTTTAGACAATTATGGATATTCCTAATTAACTCTGCACTGAAAGTGAGGAGCTGCAGTTTCTTAAGGGTTAGTTGCAATGTGGAAGTGAAAATAACTTCAGTGACTTTATTCAGACTCTATTATATTAAAATCCATTGGTCTATCTTGCATTTTGAAAGTTCCTTTTACCTATGTGTGATTTTTAAACACGTACTGGACATTTGAAAAACACTGCTTTACTGAATTACACAGATCTTCTAAATGCTGCCATATTCTATTATACAATATGAAAAGATTACATTTGTTACTATCACCACCAACTCATGAGAAAAAAACTAAGTATTGGAAAGCTGCCAAGTCCATGGCGGTGGATACAGCACAAATTTTCCACAAGTCTAGTAGTTGCTTAAAAGCTCAAACACTTTTTTCTTTTAATATTAGTATTATTTTTTGAGTTGATATCTCACTCTGACACCCAGGCTGGATGGAGTGCAGTGGCATTTTAGCGGCTCACCACAGCCTTGACTTCCTGGGCTCAGGCAATCCTTCTGCCTCAGTCTCCTCAGTAGCTAGGGCTATAGGCGTGCACCACCATGCCTGGCTAATTTTTTTGGTTTTTTTGTAGAGACAAGGTCTCATTTTGTTGCCCAGACTAGTCTTGAACTTCTGGGCTCAGGCAATCCTCCTACCTCAGACTCCCAAAGTGGCAGGATTATAGGTGTGAGCCACTGTGCCTGGCCCAAAGCTCAAAATTTCTTACTGATGTCAGCTGACAACAAATACTATAAATTGTTTTCTTTGAAGTAACTGGCTCACTCCATTCATTTTCTAGAAAATATCTGTCAAATATAAAGTATGACTCTCCAAAGTTTGTCACTCAAGCCATTTTTTCAAGTAAAGATGGCGCTCCATGAAAAAAAGTCACAATTCAGACTCCCAGTGAGTTGCAGAATGCTTTTCCTGGGGCCAACCACTGTACTGCAGTATGCAGCACAAGAGCCTCACACCTACTTTAAGTTTCATTAACACATGAGTTGAGAAAGAAACATGTATTCAAGGACCAAGATCTGACAAAATCAATAATTTTTATGCCTCATCAAGAACACGCTAAGGCAAAATTGGCCCTTTTAATTGTGAGGGCATGGTGGTGAGGAAGGTAAGGATGGCTAGTTGTTCAGTGGTGTTGACTTGATTCATGCTGAAGCACAGCAGTGTTACCTTCACTTTCACACCATCAATGTAGATGTCACAACGCTGAAAGGGGCAAATAATATATCACTATTATTATGGAAATGGCTTTGACCTTGCAGACCCAATGGAGGCACACTGCTGCAGGGGTTATTTGCACTGTTGCATTAACACACTCTGTCCAATGTGAATCAGCTGCCCAGCCAGAGTCGGCTCCTGGAACCTGGAGAGAGGTTCACTAACCAGTCCTCAGAGTACCAAGTTAGAAACCCCAAGGTAACCTCCCACACTGCTTGAGGAGAGCTGCTATGTTCATTTCTAACTCCCAGGAAGCATAATAAAATATCAAAGGAGTAACAACAAAATAAGAGAATTTGAGAAAGGGGTTAACAAAAAAAAGCAAACAATGTAAAATGGAGCCTACATTTTGAAAGCCTTGCCACCTACCTATGATCTCCTTCACGAGAATGGGCTGAGAATAGTACTTGGGCTCACTGGCACCGGCTGCATTAACAGCCTTCACACGCACAAAGATCTTGGCATCTGTGGGCAGACCCGTGATGGAGAACTTTGTCTTGTCAATCAGATCTGTGTTTGCAACTATCCAGTCCTCAGCTAAAGTCCAGAAAAGAAAAAGAAAAGGAGGAACAGTGTTTAGTGAAAGAAATCACCCTCACCATTATAGTCAACTCCACATTAGCGTTTTTTTACTCTATAATTAAATCATCTGGAAGGATTATGACTTCGGTCTGAACTCAGACTGTGTGGACGGGCATTTTTCACATATTTAAATGAAAAATGGCCGAAATGGCTAACATAAACATCAGGAAGAATAAATTATCAGCTTTTGCTGTTTCTGAAGAACCTCTTTATTCAGGATTAAAGTATCCTGAACAATGGTTAATCCTGAATAATTGTCATTGACCCCAAGAATTTACAGTTTTCTTCCAATTTGGTTTTATAATAATTCATTTAATCATGATAGGTAGCTCTCTACACATGTTACAGTTCAGAAAACAGAAAAATGCTATTTTTTAAAGGCATGCCATTGACCTTTATAGTCATATAATCTCTATTTCAAATATAATCTTGGCTGATTTATTCTCATGAGACACAAATCTAAGCACAAAGAATCAGATTGTGTTCATTCACATTTATAAAGAAAAGAATCGTCTGGCCACAAGGAAGAATCACAGCTAACAAACTGATATCTCATAAGGAGTTGGGACCATTTTATCCACCAAAAATCTGATTTTTAAAAAGCTTTTGGTAGCTTTGCCAACTACATCAAGAGAATTTAAACCCAGCATCCAAGGTTGAGCATGGTGGCTCACACCTGTAATCGCAGCACTCTGGGAGGCCAAGGTGAGAGGATTGCCTGAGCCCAGGAGTCTAAGACCAGCCTGGGAAACTTGGCAAGACCTCGTCTCTACAATAGATAAAAAAACCAGCCAGGCATGGGGGTGCGCACCTGTGGTTCCGGCTACTTGGAAGGCTGAAACGGGATTGCCTGAGCCCAACAGGTGGAGGCTGCAGTGACCGTGAGTGTGCCACTGCACTCCAGCCTGGGCGACAGAGTGGGAATCTGATTCAAAAAACCCAAAACAAACCCAGGATCCAGGGTGTAGAAATATTTCAGATTCCAGAAGTTAGTACACACTATGCCCACAGACAGGGTGAGACTCCAACTCAAAAAAAAAAAAAGCAGCAGCCTGGGGCCCCTCAGCCGTGACTCGCTGCCCCTCCCCCGCTCTAGGGCTCTGGGGCGTATGGTGGGGAGACCTGGTGGGGAGACCTCACGCTCGGTCGCAGAGCATTCCCGGAAACGTTACCACATAGTGAGAAAGCCCGAGGGCTTGGCAGAATACTTTACCTGGCAGGTCATACGCAGCCTCCCCATTTTCATCAGACTGTTTTGCTGATGTACCTTTGAGAATCCGTCATTAAAATTAATTAAAGACACCCACTTTCACACCAGAAGAATATCGTATCAGTAGTCAGCATTCTCTGTTAGTAACGTATGCAAAGTGTGCAGAGAGATTTGTCTTCAGAGCAGTGACGGAAAAGACCAAATGGGTTAGAGGGTCCTCAGGAGGCACAGCCTGCTCTGTGCAGACTGTGGTTTTGTCCTGAGGCACCTGCCACAGAGAAGAGGAGAAGAGAAGACAGGAGGAGGAGAAAGGAGGCCGGAGCACTCCGCTGGGGAAAGAAGGGACGGAGAGGGCCAAGGCAAGACCAGAAGGAAGAGGAGGAGCCAGTCCTGGAGCCCACCCGGGAGCAGTGCATGGCAGGGAGCCTCTCCTGGCTCCCGTCCCTGCCCCCCTGCCTGGGGCAGGCCCTGCAGAGCCCCCGGGACTGTGAGCTCCCACAGGGGCGTCCTCGTCAGACACGGGAGTGTGAGCACTTGCAACAAGTCAGCCCTGTCACGCCAGGGCCCCACTGCTGAGCGGACTGAGGCTGCCCCAGCAGCTCAGGAGGCAGCCTGGTTGCCACGACAATGGCCTGTGTGTCACGAAAACACACTGAGCCTGCCTGGGTCCCCACATCCCCTGTGGGTGGCTCACAGGGTGGTCTCGGCATACCCTCGTGGTTTGGGATGATGGCTCTCTCTGTATCAGGACAGGAGGGGGCACTGGAACGGTACTGTCTGGCCCTTGGAACCTTGCCTCTCGCTTGTTCGAGCCCTACAAAGGCAGAGGGCAGAAAGCCAGAATATCCTGGTAGCTGAGAGGGCATGTGGATAATAAAAATTGCTATGACTCTGAAAAAGAAATACATGTTTAAGCAAATGGTCTGCTTGGGAACTTTTGTGTTAGAGTTTTCATAGTCAAGAGAGAGTTGATGAGAGAGTAGAGAGAGGAGACTCAGGAAACATGTACAAAAGAGGGAAGAACCAGTGAGAGAGAACATTTCAAGAGAAACAGGACACAACAAGATCAGAGGGGGAGCAAAACAGTCCACCTTGTCACATTTGAACACTAATTGAGGAAAACAGAGAAAGAAAACAGTGTCCTGGGGGGAATGGGGAAGGAATGTGTAAGTTATTTAACACGTGAGGAGAATTTTTAAGAACGGAAAGAAAGAACCAGAGTGAAGGAAGAAAATAAAGAGTACAATGCTGCAGGCATTAAAAAACAATATAAAACAAGAGAAAGGCAGAGTCCAAAACAACACACGGTCTTATAAAAGAAAGATTCTCTTACAGTATAAAACCTGACATCTCTAGAAGCATTCAACACTGTAGAAAATTAGTCTGGAGGACAACAGCCATTAAAAGAAAACGAAGAGAAGGCAGCCACATAAAGAAACTAAGAAAAGACTGCAAGAAGAAAGATATGCACGTTATGACAGAACTTCCATAGAAAGCTAACTTCAAAAACATTACATGGCAAAATATATACATAGTAATGACTGTGTACATATACATATGTATCTACAGCTATACATATGTATCTACACAGACCACACGCACAATTCTGTAAAATACACTTCGTTGTATTTTATCTAAGGTGGGTAACATCAAAATGACAGCCATCTATCATTTTGCTGTATCTTCTTACTTTTTAAACCTATCAGAAAGAAAAGAGTAAAGAATTTGCTCTGTTCAACATACACAAAGGCTTGTGCTCAGCAGCCTGCCACACTGGGAAGTTTTGCTGGCTGGCAACACAAAAGCAGAGGGAGTGCCCACAAAGTTTTCAAATGGGGCAGTGGGATAGGATACACCTTATTCTGAAGTGGTTAGTGATACCACCCGCCCCTTGCCAGGTTAGCCCTGGGAACTTCCTTGTTTCCACTGGTTTGGGTGAGAGGTTTTTTACGCCCTGAAAAATCAAGCACAGTATTCCGTGTTTGGAGCATGTGTATGAGGACTGGAGGGGCGCCAGTATCTTCATTCTCCTGGCATTTCTCCCCCAGACCAGTGGCGGGCCTTCCACAGTGCTGCAGTCCAGGGCCTGAGATTTCTTTCTCGGCAGTTTCCTCTTCATAGGAAGTTTCTTCTCCATGGCGGTTCTCCTCTGGGGGAGGTACACTCCTTCGCATTCCTGAGTTCTCCAAAGCGCTCTGCAGCCTGCTTCCTTCAAGTGAAGGATCCAAAGAGTTTTCTTGAAGGTGAAGCCCTGAGCTACTCTTTGCAGCAGGTACACAAGCGTCCCTGGCAAACTGTTAACCTACCATCCGCAGGAATGGAGCTGAATCCAGAGCAGGGCAAATTCCATTCAGCCACTTTCAAATGTCATCACCCTTTAGTCATGGCAAAGAGGAAACCAAGAAACTCAACAGGCTTTTGGTGACTCTTCCATCTTTTTGTTTTCAGGTATACTAATGGCCCATATTTTCTCATGTCATGTTTTCTTTTTCTATTATTTCTATCAGTGACTTTTATTGGCCTTCTCTTTCCCTCTCAAATTTAAGCGATTAAATTTTGATATATCTAAGCCCTGAGATAAGCTACTATCACATGTGGACCTATTTCTTATACCATCTGGGAAGAAGGCAGGAGCTAATCACCACATGGTTGTAGTCTCTCACTATTATCTAAATAAGCTGCTCTTTCACGAGCTAACTTCTGCTTAGTGCAGGTTTTAGAAGCACCGACTGGCTCCATCCTGACTAGACTTGACTTTGCTGTGGTACAGTTCGATTCCACTAGGGCAGGAAGTGAAAGTCCCTGGAGTTTAGCTGGAGGTCATTTCTCCTATGTCTTAGCTCGATCACACTGCCCAATCTGGCAGTCTAGCTAGGGTAGCTTTGAGAGCTCAATTTATTCACGTTAAGTACTAATGAAGGGCTAAGTTTTCATACTTCTCAGAAGGACGACATTTGACTTGATCTCGTTTTCAGTAGAAAGATGAGTTCCCAAGAAAGACAGACAGAAGAAAAGGGGCATATCTCACCTATGGATGATGGTATTCATTGCATCAAGTAGTGGTACTTACTGCCTTCAAAGCAATACTCTAGCACATAGCCATCTAGACCTGCTGCACCAATCTGGTCTGGGGGCCGCCACTTCATGGTAACAGTCGTGTCAGTGACCGAGTCTACAGCCAGAAGAGTAGGAGGGCTGGTGACAGCTTAAAGATAAAAGAGACAGAAATGGAAAAGCAACTAACTAAGAGTGACAGCACAGGAACTGTGATTAAATAAACTGGGATGCAAACACAAGCAGAACCTGAAGCCCCATATCCAAATACAATTCAGTTAAGACTCCTTGAGCCAGGAGCGCAAGGCAGAGGTCTGATTAACATGGAAATTCTGGAAATGCTGTCACATGTTTCCTCTAACTTGGGAGGTTGGTGTGGGCTGGGAGACCCAAGGAGGTTGAAGAAATCAAGCTTCGGGATTTAATGATCTAGAGTAAATTTCCCAGCACTCTCTAATTTTCAAGAGCAAACTCTTACACTAAATCTCCTTTTTATTGAAAAAATATCTCACTGGGTATGGTGGCTCAAGCCTGTAATCCCAGGACTTTGGGAGGCTGAGGCAAGAGGACTGCCTGAGCCCATGGGTTCGAGATCAGCCTGGGCAGCATGGTGAGACCTCATCTCTACAAAAAATTAGCCGGGAGTGGTAACACACGCCTGTAGTTTCAACTACTGGGAAGGCTGAGACGAAAGGATCGCCTGAGCCCATCGGTTCAAGGCTGCGGTGGCCGTGAGCATGCCACTGCACTCCAGCCTGGGCGACGGAGTGAGAGTCCAACTCAAAAAAGAAAAAAAGAAAAAGAAAAAATATCTCACTACCATAAACTAGTAGAACATCTCATCTTCTGTTTCTTTGTTTTGAAGTGACTTTTGTGGTTGAATATATCACGTTTAAGGTATGAAGGCTACAAAGTAGAGAGTAGCTTCTGAATGTGGTCTGCTGAACGGATTTCAACGTGTTTTAGTGACCATGTTTATACCACGATGCTTGGTTGTACCTTCAGAAAGACAAGCTGAGAGGAGTCATGTGTCCATGGACTCAGTCATGTGTTCTCAGTGGGGAGTGGCAACCGGAGCCATCCACAGGAATTCTGGTAATGTGAAGTTCAGGGCCTACCTCATGAAGGTATTCAACTCTATCAAAGTCGCTTTGTAGCTTCTTAGACAGACAATTGCCCCTGACTGCTTCCAACCACTTGCCCACCCTCAAGTCTAAGAAGGCTCCAGGCCTGTCCCAGTTAGAAGTCAGAGAAAAAGCAGTCACAATCTGGGGCAATGATTCCCATGACAAAGACGTTATTTCTCTTGACTCACCCAACGGAACAAAAGGCTTGGAGGGCATGCTGGGCTTGGAGATGCCGATGGCATTGACTGCAAAAATGCGGACCTCGTAGGCCACTCCTTCAATCATCTTCTTGGGCTCAAAAGTTGTTTCTTTGCAGAGATCAAAATTCAGCCTCATCCATCTGGAGCTTTGCTTCTTTTTCCTCTCAATAAAGTATCCTTCAGGGACACAAAATGGAAACTGAGGTTGTTCTTTGGTCTCTAAGATTAAACTTCGCCAAATATTAGAAGAAATCCTTCAAATTTTGCATTTTCTCAGCACTCTAAATGAAACAGTCATATATGTACGTATTTTTAATCCACCTTATTCTACCAGTTATTTGAGAGAGTTGGCAAACAATAAAAGTATTAACATCATAAGATATAGACAAAAATAAAATAACAGGACAAAAAAAAAACTGTACCAGAAGGAGGAAAAAAATGGATCACAGATATGTAGGCCACGGCACCTAGGCAGTAGTTGTAGCTGAGCAATATAGTCAGAGTCAGTACAGTCGACTCGAATTTCAGGAAGGTAGGAGCAGGATATGACCAGTTTTGTGAGTCTTGTTATTAGCAGGGAGAAAAAAATCCCCATGTTGTAGGGAAAAGCACATCCTTCTAAGCATTTAACTCTAAAAGAAATTTCTTCATAGACATAATCCTGTGCACTAGACATTCACTGACTAGAACAGTGGAAGTTAGGCAGATTATTTCAAAATTAGATACTGAGAATATACATTTAACAACAACAACAAAAAGGAGAACTAGCAATCAGATGACATTCATCAGAGCTACTTAAATCTCATGTAATTACAGAACTTCCCTATATATATATTTATTTTTTTTTGGTTGGATATTTAAAGTCACAGTCGAATGGGTTTTCTTCTAAATGCAGTATTTTAAAATGCACTCTGCTAAGATGCAGGAAGAGGCAGGTGCGTAGCGGGCCAACATGCACTTACCGAGGATTGGAGACCCTCCATCGTAGGCAGGAGGCTCCCAGTTCATGATGCACCAATCATCTCCCACCTCTGTCACATTCGGTGCCACTGGAGGGTCAGGGATATCTGTTGCAGATGAAAAATAGGATGAAATAAAGCAAAATAAAGAAGACAAAGTGCAAAGAAAAATGTTAATAGGAAAATATGCTCTTTGGTGACAGTCATAGGAACTTATTTCTGAGTACTGAACTGGCACTTAGCAACTAACTTGGGCAAAAAGTTATGCTCAATATAAAATAAGAAAAGGTGAACCCAATGAAAATTAAAATAATGATGTCTCCAAATTCCTTAAACTGGTATCACATTACAGAACACGCCCCACATGGAACCCAAGACTCTTATTATCTACCTTAAACACATTAACTGAGACATTATTGCCTAAATTTCAAATATGATTTTTTTTAGAGACGAAGTCTCACTGTGTTGCCCAAGCTGGTCTTGAACTCCTGGACTCAAGCAATCTTCACACTTTGTCCTCCCAAAATGCCAGGCTGTAAGTCTAAGCCACCATACCCAGTATATTTCTTAACTACAAAGTGAACTTCCATCAGAACTGAATCAAGGACTAATTACTGTAAATTTTACATCAGTTGGACGACTCAAGATGTTGGCAGATAGAAATCTAAGTCAGAAATATCAAATCACCGTGTCATGTAAGTCTAGTTCAATGCCTGATAAAAATGACCTTAGTTTTTGGTCAATTTGAACCATATCACCAGACATAGTGGCTCATGTCTGCAATTACAGCACTTTATGAGGCTGAGGTGAGGAGACTATCTGAGTCCAGGAGGTCGAGACCAGCCTGGACAACATGGTGAGACCTTGTGTCCACAATAAATTAAAAAATTAGCTGGGTATGGTGGTGTGTCCCTGTAGTACCAGCTACTTGGGAAGCTGCCTGCCTGAGCCCAGCAGGTTGAGGCTGTGGTGAGCTGTAATCATGCCACTGTACTCCAGCCTGGGCAACAGAATGAGACTCCAATTCAAAAAAAAGAAAGAAAGAAATAAAAAGAAAGAAAAAAGAAATCAATTTAGAGAAAACTACAGTGAGAAGTGATCTTAAGATCTTGAAACAAGCCGGGCTCGGTGGCTCAGCCTGTAATCCCGTGCCTTTGAGAGGCTGAGGTGAGTGGATTGCCTGAGCCCGCGGGTTCGAGACCCGCCTGGGTAGCGAGACCTCATCTCTACAATAAATCAAAAAATCAGCCAGGCGTGGTGGCGCACGCCTGTAATTCCGGCTACTCGGAAGGCTGAGGCGGAAGGATCGCCGGAGCCCAGCAGGTCGAGGCTGCGGTGGCCGGGAGCGGCCACTGCACTCCAGTCTGGGCGACAGAGTGAGACTCCGACTCAAAAAAAAAAAAAAGATCTTGAAACACTAATAATCCGCAGATTCAGGCTTAGGAAAATGTGCGAAGCTAGCTGTCTAAGGACCAAGGCAGATCCTACTCCTCCTCTACAACGATTGTGATGTGAGAAATTACTTAGCACTCGTGTTCTTGGGATGTTTAAAGGGCAGCGAAAGGGAATCAGACTCTGGAGAGCTAATGACCAGCAACCGCAGATGGCTGAGCTTAGCTACTCATTCCTCCAATGGGAAGTTCTCTCGGAAAGAAAAAAGAAGGGAAAGGAAGGAAATGAAATGGAAGAAAAGTAAAGGAGAGAAAAGAAGTGGCACAGGCAGAAACAGGGAAACGGCAATTTGTCAAATGCAGCTCTACTGTGTTTCTTCTGCTGGTAGCCCAGAAAAGCTGAGACAACCAACAGCTGGCAAAGTCTACTCTGGATCTAAAAACTACAGCGAGAGTCTAGCAGTCTGTTTATCTGGAGGGCTTACCCACAACTTTGATCTTGATGCTTGCATGTGCTTCTCCAGCTTCATTTTTCAGATTTATGTTGTAAATACCAGAGTCATCTCTTTCAGCCACATCAATGACCAGAGTGCTGCTATCGGGGTATGATTCTGCCCTTATCCGGCCACTTCCCTCAGTAATAGCCTAAGAAGGAAAGAGCAGATGTGGCATGATCAACACAACAAGGCCACTTCGGAGTGCCTTATCACTTGGGCTAGGCATGGGGTTAATGCCTCATATCCATGTCCTCAGTTGAATCCTCCCCCAACTCTAATGACAAAGGTATTATCATACCATTTTACACATGAGGAAACTGAGCCTGAACCTGCTCAAGGCCACACAGACATGAGGTAGCAGAACCGGGGTTTGATTCCAAAGCCTACTAATCACCAAGAATCCCGAGAGAAAGCTGGAGGGCTAAAAAATACTGCAGATGCAGCCGGGCTCGGTGGCTCAGCCTGTAATCCCGCGCCTTTGGGAGGCTGAGGTGAGTGAATTGCCTGAGCCCGCGGGCTCGAGACCCGCCTGGGCAGCGAGACCTCATCTCTACAATAAATCAAAAAATCAGCCGGGCGTGGTGGCGCATGCCTGTAATTCCAGCTACTCGGAAGGCTGAGGCGGAAGGATCGCCAGAGCTCAGCAGGCCGAGGCTGCGGTGGTCG